AATTAGCCCCTTTTCTGATATAGCACAATATCCTGAATCATAAATTCACCAGGTGGGCGTAGGTTTGCCCAATATGTTAAGCCACAAAAGTGCTTTGGATTCAAATAACAAGCTTGCTTTCCCTGATTATTCCATGGCTTGATTTGTCATTTAGCACCATGGATTCCAGAATCATCCAGACTTGGTAACCTCAGCAAAAGCGGAAAACTGGAGCCAGTTCTTAAAAACTTTATTCCTGGGAAGGTGTCTCACTTTATGCCCTACCCAAAATCCAAATGAGAATGGGCACCTCCTCATTCAAGAACAAGACCTGCTGTGGAAAGTCTTTCACTACATATTCCAGAGCTCAGATAGCAGGGGAGTGAAGGTGGGGATCCCAGGAAGGGATTTGGAAGGATGGTGTGAGTGTTGGTGACAAATATTTCCCCCTCCTTCCTCCCCTGGCTACAGCATATTGTGCAAAGGTCTTTAACCGTTGTTATATTTAAGCCAAGCTGGCAAAATTTGGCTGGAGCCAGGAGGATGTAGGACGGAAGTCTTGGCTCCATCACTCTTCCTCAAAGTAGAGCAGATGAGGGTGAAAGTGAAATGTGCTGATAAAGGGAGAGTGAAAGGCAAGGGACAAAGTGCTCCAAAGGCAGAGGAGAACAAAGTCTTGGCTGTGATGCCAAAACCATGGCTGGTCCTGATGCTGGTGGGTGAGTAAAAGGTGGGGGCAGAGGCTGCTTTGCTAAGTAGAAAAGAGACAGAAAACCTTTTCTTGGAATGGGACCTTCAGGTTACCCATGTTCTACAGAGCATTGAATGGCAGCGGTGGGGATGGTGCAATACTTGGCAGCATCAAAACAGAAGGCGGGGGAGTTTGGTTTAACTTCGTATTTCATTTCAAAGCTTTCAAAGGGGGGCTCCCAACTTGCACCAACCCACCTAAAATATTATAGTCCAAACCTTTTACCTTTGCTTGTTGGATCCATTGGTTGAAAGACCATGCAACCTGGGTTTCTTCAAGGTGTACTATTCCAGATGGACAGGTGGTAGCTACTCTTAGAGCTATTCACTAGACCTCTCCCTCTTTCTTGTCTTTGATCATTCATTCATTCATGTAATTTATCTACCCCTTACTCCTCATGGACTTAGAAGGCTGCATGTTGGTGAGAGTAATGGAATTGCAGAGTGTTTAATTCCTTCTCTTCATAGTGTTTTCTTGATCAAAATTACTCCCCTTCAAATGTATTAGCCTGTTGGGTTAGGAGGCTGAGAATTTGCATCTGTACCTTTTTACTTTACTTTACTTTACTTTACTTTACTTTACTTTACTTTACTTTACTTTACTTTACTTTACTTTAATTTTAATTTTAATTTTAATTTTAATTTTAATTTTAATTTTAATTTTAATTTTAATTTTAATTTTAATTTTAATTTTAATTTTAATTTTACTTTACTTATGTAGTATGATAATTTCAAGAAAAAAGGTAAGGGAATAAAGCTAATACATTTAAAATAAATAAAATATACTGAGGAAAGAAAAATATAAAGCAATATATATGGTGAATAGCCAACAAATTGCAATACCAACAGATTGAAAATATCATATGGCTAATATATTTTAATACATCATTAAGAACTTAGAGAGTACTGCAAGACATTTCATACCCAAGTTCTAGTCAAGAGATGTCTCTATTGAATTGTAAAAATATTTGGTTAACACAATTGAAATCAGTAAGAGGAAATGGAAAAAAATGCATTGTAAACAATACATTAAAAGAATAGGGTAAATAATGTGTAGACTATATATCTGATTAAAATATAACATCTAGAACCCTAATCTGGGATGTAACACAATTCCATGTATAGAATTGTAGTCCAGAAATTATTTCCAAAAAAGATTAAAATATACGTCATATTTACTTTTTTGACATGACATTATCCTAGATATTGAAGGATATTCCCATAGTTTAATTAACCATTCTTCCATAGAGGAGATCAGAGTTGTTGTTGTTTTTTAATGTAAAGTGTATAAAATCCTTGCAGCAATTATTATGTACAATGCCAGTTCAGTATATTCTGAAGGAATGTGTGGTTTGGTGAAGTTTGAAAATCGTATAGACCATAATAATGAACATTTGCTGTATACAAACAGCATCATGTTTATTTAAATTGTCCCCATTAAGCCTGAGCAACAGGGATGGTCTCCAGAATTCAACTCACAAAAGGGTTGATTTTGTTGGGCAAGTTTTATAGCCCTCCAACCTTCCTCTCCACCACCCTCCAGAGTTGCTTAGTTTAGGCACCAGTAAGAGAAGGTTACATATTCATGAGATTTAAGTGTCTAGCAGGCACTGGGCATCTAGCTAAGATGGAGGAGGGGAATAATGATCTACTTGGGGTTAAAGCAGAAATTTTGTTATCTCATACCTTGCAAGAGTAAATAGGAAGAGCTTGCTTGTCTAAACAGCCTCTCTTCCAGGTGTTATTTAAAAAATACTGGTCAATCCCAGGACACCCTTGGCTTGATTTAGGTTGCAATGAGGACTTAATATAGTCTCAAGATGGAAAGTTCGGCACTACCCCCTATGGACGAATGGTTGGTGAAATTGACAGATCTTGCTGAGATGGACAAACTAACTTCTTTGATAAGAGAAAAGACATTATCTACATTTATTGGTAACTGGAAGCCTCTTATGAACTTGTGATTCATGTTTTTGATGATTAGACCGGATAGATCGGCATTTCTCAACATCAGCAACTTTAAGATGTGTGGACTTCAACTCCCAGAATTCCAATCCATACTGGATTGGAAGTCCACGCATCTTAAAGTTGCTGATGTTGAGAAACACTGTTCTAGGGGCTGGATTAGACCTCACTGCTAATCCCTTCCTCTCTTTTTCTCCCAGGCCCTGCTGCAGCTCTCATGCTGTCTACGCCCCTGGCCCCGATTTCTGTCTTCCGTGGAAAGACAGCCTTGCTCTCAGCCTCATTCAATTTCTCTTCTTCGGTGCCCAACTACTTCCAAATCCGATGGCGTTTCATCACCGGCCCATGGCTGGTGCTGATTGTGAAAGCTGATAACTGCGGTGGAGACCATGGTACCTATCACTGGTGGGATGCCTGTGAGATCACGGTTGAGAAAGCAGAGAGATACAGGCATCGGGCAGAATGGTCTTCTGAAGATGCTTCGCTGATATTACAGGATGTCAGAGTTGAAGATTCAGGGGTTTACAGCATCAAGTTGCTGGCTTTGGGTGTAAGACTGTCAGCCAACATCAACCTAACAGTGATCAATGGTAAGAGAATGAAGGTAGATCTGCACATGGGGGGAAGGGCACCTCTGGGGAGGTCAAGAAAGGTAAGATGTCAGCTGAAACCATACAATTGTGCCTTGCATCAGAAAGGAATTGGGCTTCAGTTCTGCTGTTCTGGTGGCCATCTTGACTTCTTTAACTTCCCCATGGCCACCCTTGATGGGAAAACCCTTTATTTATCCAAGTTAAATTTTATTTATTTGTTTGGCCTTATTGCTTTATCTTGTTCCATGGATTGGAACCTGCCAGCAGACCCTCTGGACAAATAAATTTTAAATAACATTAAAATAATATTTGGATCTCCTGTGGCTATTAACACATTAAAAGCAGATGAAGGGGTGTGGCCATGCTTAATCCTTTCCCCACAGGATTGAAGACTTCGTGTCCACCCAAAGCTACTGTTTTCTATGTACAGCAACACTTCACACCTAAGTCATGGTGGCAGAATCTGCCATCCTGCATCTGTTGGACTACAATGCCCATATTTCCAGGTTGCTTTTTGACAGGGGGTTGGGAAAGGGATGGAAGCTTACTCATGGCAATTTGTGAAGAGGGGTGAAGTCACTGGATCTCTGCATGAGATTGATGTTGTTCATTCCCTGTTACTCCATATACGCTTGGGAGAAATTCTGCTCCCACCATGGGGCCACTCAGGAACTTCTTGGGGTGGGGGGAGAAAGGTAAGAGAGCAGCTGCAGAGCACAACTGAAGCCCTCTCCTTTTTAGGTGTATTGCATGTGAGATACACATAAGTCAGGCTTTGATGGTTGTGGTGTCATTTTGACTTTCTTGAACATCTTCCCCTCCATGCTGTTGGGCCATAGATCTCCCACCCCTGCTCTACATTTCCCATGATGGAGCAAACAGCTGCTTTGGGAGAGGGCTTTTTTTTTTTAAATCAGGAAAATGATTAAAAAACACAGTGCAGGTTTAAGCCAGAAGAAGTTCAAAGCAAGCCCATCTTGTAATCGTCAGTAGGAACAACCTTGAGAGACAGGAGGAAGAGCTGCAGCCTAGACAACGGTCAGAGAAAAGATGAAGCCCACACCTCTTAAAGATGCCTTTTGATACAGAGAGAGAGAGAGATAAGGTAAATCAGCATTTCTCAATTTCTGCAACTTTAAGATGTGTGGACCATCTTTTCTCTGAGAAGTTGTCTCAGAAGAGACCCTCCCTAGTTTTCTGGAAGGTTAAAATAAAGGACAGGAGAAGGGCTTTCAGACTTTCAAGACTCTGTTACTGTAACCTTGCAATAAAGATAGTGTTAGTCCTCGTGGTTTTGGTTCCTTGTCTGGACTACCTCGAAGGGCTGACGCATATGCCTAATAGTCTGCATTAAAAAAAGCAATGTCTTTTTAAAAACAATCTTAACAGAAACCAGCAGTGTCCAGTCCAACGCTGCAGCCTTTGGTGATCGGAGAAGAGGAACCTCTCCCAACGAAACTGCCAACACAGCAGGTTTGTATGGGAGAGGGAAATAAGTAGAGAAGAAAACCAGGAATAAATGGAATATGGAAGGAAAAAAAAGATGTGAGACTGGAAGAGGGAACTCAATCAGGTTTTTAGACATCATCCCTACCCATCAAATTGTTTCCTTCAAATGGAGGAGGGATCATCTGGTGTCCTGCTTTCCATCTCTGTTCTGCTATTGCTATGTAATATAAAAGCTGGAATAACCAAAGCCCCCCCCCCCCTTTGGGACTGTCCATGCTCATTACACCCCATATTGCTTCCAGTAGCTCTGAACATTTCTGTGCCTTTTGATACAGATAGAAAGAGAGAGAGAAAGATAATGTAAATCAGTGATTCTCAACTTCAGCCCCCCCTATAAATTGGGGGGCGAGCCCACCCCTAATTTAAACACAACCGCACGAGAAGGCGGAGGACGAGAACTCAGTGGG